GCCTCTCGGGGCCTCTTGGGGGCCTCGTAGGGCCTCCAGGGGACCTATTAGGCTCTCTTGGGGGCCACTTGGGGCCTCCTGGGAGCCTCTTGGGGCGGAAGGCTCGAATTGTCGGTTCGTGTTCCCCCTCTTGGACCCTTCTTGTGTCCCTCTTGGGGCCGTATTGAGGCCCTCTTGGGCGATCTTGGGCGCCTCTTGGGCCATTTGGGGGCCCTCTTGGACAGTCTTGGGGCCCTCTTGGGGGCCTCCGGGGCCATCTTGGAGCGTCGGAAGCCCGAAAACGCGAAACATCAAAAATCACTCATCAAACCAATGATGTTTGCCTCTTTGGGCCTTCTTGGGGGGTCCTCGTGGAGCGCCCTTGGGGTTTCTTTGGGGCCTCTTGGGTCGTCTTGGGGCAGTCTTGGGTGTCTTGGAGCGCTCTTAGGCTGTCTTGGAAGCGTCTTGGACCCTCTTGGGCGCTTCTTGGGCCCCTCTGGGGCCGTCTTGGGGCCCCCATGGCTTCTTGAAAAGTCACGCGATGCAGCCCAGGAACGCGCGAGAGCGCCCAGGAAATTTGAGAACAGAGAGCACATGAGAGCCTGGGGGGTAACTCCACTTCGTGTCTCGAGGCACGGTGGCGGACAGCACCAGCACTGTGAGGAGCAGGAGGGGGAGGACAGTTGCGAAAGGAGGGCCTGCAGCCTCCGAAGGGAGGACTGGGGAGGACAGCCGCGACAGGAGGGCAACTGCGAGAGGAGGACTGAGGCGCAGGAGGGGGAGGAGGAGGAGGAGGAGGAGGGAGGAGGAGGAGGAGGAGGAGGAGGAGGAGGAGGGGGAGGAGGGGGAGGACGAGGACGGACGAGGACGAGGACGAGGACGAGGACGAGGACGAGGACGAGGACGAGAGGAGGAGGAGGAGGAGAAGCAGCAGCAGCAGCAGGAGGAGGATGAGGAGGGAGAGGAGGAGAGGAGGAGGAGGAGGAGGAGGAGGAGGAGGGGGAGGAGGAGGGGAACGACGAGGACGAGGACGAGGACGAGGAGGAGGAGGAGGAGGAGGAGGGAGAGGAGTGATCTTCGCGTACTTCTTCCCGTTTCTCAACTGTTCGTCTTGTTCATTCACATTTCCAGTGCAATTTCCAATTACTTCCATAATCATTTTTCTGGAAAACATCATGTGTTTCTGTAATCGTGGGATTGCTTACAAGCCGCCTGGAAATTCTTAACCTCATTGTAAGATGAGGATATCAAAAAATACACGTACATATTGTTATCCCGGAGGATAGTAGGAGGAGGAGGAGGGAGAGGAGGAGGACAGGACAGGACGTCCGCATAAGGGGGTGCCTGCGGCCACCCATCGCCCAAGTCGGGCAGCCGCAATGGAGGACGGGACCGGGCACACGCAGAGGGTGGGGGGCCGCGCGGCCGAGGCCGCGAAGTTGCAGGCAGAGCCCAGCCCCGCTTGGACCCACATCATCGTCATCAGCATCATCATCATCCTCATCATCATCATCATCATCATCATCATCATCATCATCATCATCATCATCATCATCTTCATCTTCAGCAACAGCAGCATCATTAATATTGATGCCATCATCATCATCAACATCAGCATCAGCATCAGCATCATCATCATCATCATCATCATCATCATCATCATCATCATCATCATCATCATCATCATCATCATTGTCATCATCATTAGCAGAATCATCAATCAGCTGTCGCCAATCACCATTGTCATCACCAGCAGCAGCATCGCAATCGTCATCGTCATCAGAATCGTCGTCATCGGCATCAGCATCAGCATCAGCAGAATCATGTTTGCCATTATCATTAACATGACCGGTATCCTTATCCTCAACCTCCTCATCCATCAGACGCCATCAATCATCATCATTCTCATTATCGCCATCAATCATCAATCACTAGTCATCATAATCATCATCATCGTCATCAGCATCCTCACCAGCAACATCGCAATCGTCATCGTCATCATCAGCATCAGCATCAGCATCACCATAGTGACCAGTATAAGTACCATTACAACTAGCATTACCATCATTATATCATCATCATCCGCCTCCTCCTTATCATCATCATCATCATCATCATCATCATCATCATCATCATCATCATCATCATCATCATCATCATCATCATCCTCATCCTCATCATCATCATCATCGTCATCATCATCATCATCATCATCATCATCATCATCATCATCATCATCATCATCATCATCCAGGGGCTCGACGCCACTGAGGCTCCGAAGGCTCGACCCACGCGGCTTGACCCCTCTGAGGCTCCGAAGGCTCCACCACAGGGGGGGTCGCGCGCGAAGCATCTCTGGCCAGGCCAAGTCACAGAGGGCGTCAGAGGTCCAGTCGAGCGAGGCTCCTGTCCGGCTCGGCCTGCAAGCTGGCGGTCGGGCGCCGGTTGCTCGGCTAGTGGGCTAGTAGGAGTGGCTCTTGTCGATCGACATTTTGCGAGGCTGTCCTTAGATGCAGGCCCCCGGGCACATGGCGTTTTTGTGCGTTTTCGGCGACTGCGAAGGGTGAGGTTACGCCGGGGTGTGGTTTGCGATCGGCGCCGTGGGGACCTGGGGGGCACGACACTGTCCTCGTCGGGCCTCCTCGGGGCACGGCGGAGAGCTCAGTCGGGGTCCCGCCCGCCCCCCAGGGTGCCCCCCAGGACGCCAGTTGCAAACCACACCCTTTGCAAACCACACCCTTCGAAGTCGCCGACGTTTGCCCGCATCCTCAAATCCAGAAGACCGCGCGGCGCGAAAGCCGGATGCGGTGAAGCTGCTGGCGAGGAGCTACTGTTGGAAGTTTGCTCCTTGCCGTCGGGACCGCGCGGAGATTTCCGAAGGTCATGCTGGAAGTCGGTTCCATTTCGATTCCGTTGCTCGTTCGGACTATCGAGGAAAGTGCAGTATCTCGTGATTTCACGGTTTACCGAGGCTACGGTTTTGTCCTCTCTGCTTGCCTTCAGCACTGTGCGTGTGATGCCCCCAGTGTTGAGGTAGTGCCACGAGCACAGGTGGTCCAATCGCCCGCGCAGAAAAAATAGCAAACAAATATCTTGGCGAAGGACCCAACCATATGCAGTTGTGAGTAACGCGCTGTGGGTGCCGCTTTCGGTGGAAATCCTTATGGGGCCACAAAACGCGTGAGGGACGTGCCGTAATGGGTGGGGGAGACGCATGCGGGCGGTGCCACTGGGGCCTTTGGTGGGGCTCCCTATGGGCCACGAAACGTTGTCCTGGGTGTGGCTGACGCATGCGGGAGGTGCCCCTCGCTGGAGCTCCCGATGAAGCCACGAAACGCTGTATTGGTTGGGGGAAACGCATGCGGGCGGTGCCGGTGGGGTCCTTCTGTGGAGCTCCCAACGGGGCCACGAAACGCTGGACTGGGTGGTGGCCGACGCATGCGGGCGGTGCCACTGGGACCTCCGGCGGAGCTCCCGATGGGGCCACGTTGCCATTGGGGCCTTCGGTGGCCACTGGAGCTCCCTACGGGGCCACGAAACGCTGTGTTGGCTGGGGGGGACGCATGCGGGCGGTGCCACTGGGGCTTGGTAGAGCTCCCTATCAATGGGGCCGCGAAATACAGTACTAGGTGCTGGACGACGCATGCGGGGGGTGTCACTGGGGACTTTCTGTGGAGCTCCTTATGGGGCCACGAAACGTCGTAAAGGGTGTGGCGGACGCATGTCGCCACCCCCACTGGGACCGCAGGTGGACCTCCCTACGGGGCCACGAAACGCTGTACTGGGTGTGGCGGACGCATGTGGCCACCCCCATTGGGACCGCAGGTGGAGCTCCCTATGGGGCCACGAAACGCTGTACTGGGTGTGGCGGACGCATGTGGCCACCCCCACGGGGGCCTTCGGTGGAGCTCCCTATGGGGCCACGAAACGCTGTACTGGGTGTGGCTGACGCATGTGGCCACCCCCACTGGGGCCTTGGGTGGGGGCTCCCTATAGGGCCACGAAACGCTGTACTGGGTGTGGCGGACGCATGTGGCCACCCCCTTTGGGGGACGCAGGTGGAGCTCCCTATGGGGCCACGAAACGCTGTACTGGATGTGGCTGACGCATGTGGCCCCCCCCCCACGGGGGCCTTCGGTGGAGCTCCCGATGGGGCCACGAAACGCTGTACTGGGTGTGGCTGACGCATGTGGCCACCCCTACTGGGGCCGCGTATGGAGCTCCCTATGGGGCCACGAAACGCTGTACTGGGTGTGGCGGACGCATGTGGCCACCCCCACTGGGGCCGCGGGTGGAGCTCCTCCCTATGGGGCCACGAAACGCTGTGCTGGGTGTGGCGGACGCATGTGGCCACCCCCACGGGGGCCTTCGGTGGAGCTCCCTATGGGGCCACGAAACGCTGTACTGGGTGTGGCTGACGCATGTGGCCATCCCCCACTGGGGCCTTGGGTGGGGGCTCCCTATAGGGCCACGAAACGCTGTACTGGGTTTGGCGGACGCATGTGGCCACCCCCTTTGGGGGACGCAGGTGGAGCTCCCTATGGGGCCACGAAACGCTGTACTGGGTGTGGCTGACGCATGTGGCCACCCCCATTGGGGCCTTGGGTGAAGCCCCCTATCGGGCCACGAAGCGCTGTACTGGGTGTGGCGACGCATGTGGACATCCCCACTGGGACCGCGTATGGAGCTCCCTACGGGGCCACGAAACGCTGTATTGGATGTGGCAGTCGCATGTGGACACCCCTACTGGGGCCTCCGATGGAGCGCCACGAAACGCTGCACTGGGTGTGGCGGACGCATGTGGCCACCCACACTGAGGCCTTCGGTGGAGCTCCCTATGGGGCCACGAAACGTGTGAGGGGTGTGCTGAAACGGGTTATGATGATGAAACGAGGCGGGAGAGGGAGGAGGAGGAGGAGGAGGAGGAGGAGGAGGAGGAGGTATGACGCGGGGCGCTGTCTCTTCGAAACGAGGACCCAACACCACAGGATGGTTGGGAAAAAACATCGGCCCCCTTGCAGGACGTCGACACCTGCTGCGAGGCCCGAGCCACGTGCTCCGACTTCACCTGCCCGGCCAACACCGACACCAGGCCCGGGAGCGAGGAGGTGCCCCCCGCGGCCGCCGTCTTGCCCCCTCGCCTCGCTCCAGTCCCTGCGGGCGATGGGCACCCGAAGAGGAGCGAAGGGTTCGGGGGTGGAGAGGCGTGCGCTCCGTGGTCTGGGCGGGCTTCGCTCCTCGAAGGGCTGGTCCAGGGGCTTCGGGCGGCCTGGGGATGGCTCTGGCACGCAGAGCTCTGGGGTCTGGTGCGACAAAGCCCTGGCAGGCGAGGTCTGAGCCGATCCGGTGCCGCCAGGCGAACCCACGAGGTGCGCCCAGGAGGTTCGCATTCCGAGTAAGAAGTGGATTCCGAGGCAGACCGCTATTCGTTCCGAGGCAGCTTCCCGCTCGTGTGCATTCTTCTGGTTGGTTTTCTGCGCTGCTCGGGAAGGGCTCGACGGGTGCACTTGACGGCGGGATGTAAGGATCGGACCACCGCAGACTCAGTCAGCCATCAGGCACTGCGCACGTGGAAGTGCAGTAACCAGAGAGTGCCGACATCAGGGGTGCAGCTGTCTGGTGTCTCGAGTTGCCTTGCTCCGCGTCGTGTGTCACACAGCCTCCAGGTCAAGACCAGACCGATTCGATGTGTTCAAAGAGATAGTGAGAGGGGGGAAATCAAAACATCTCAAGATGAGAGGTGCACTTGTGAAGAAAGAACGCGTGCAGGTCGAGAAACGAACGTTACGGGGAAGAAAAAGGGCACACCACATTTCGCCTCAGGTCAAATCTGAAAGGTGCCGCTGTTGCTTCCCTCGTGATCCTCACGTTTCGGTCCTCCGCGCAAGACGTCGGGAAGGTTTCGACTCCTTGGATCGACAACATATATTGTCGCGGTTGCTCCATATTGTTTTTATGATGCGAACGCAAAAGCGCATCCTTCGTGGAGCCGCAAGCGGAAGTATTGGAATGGTATTGGGATCGCAAGCGTAGTATGACGTTTTAGTTGGGTTATGCCACAGCCGCTGATTATTTCGACGTTTGCGGTTGTTGTCTCAATCTCCGACAGGCAACGCAATGCCAGATCCATTTCGATCGGATTGTCTTGACAGGAAGATATGTTATAGGTGTATGAATGTATGTGTAGATATGCAAATGTGGGTGTATATATATATATATGTGTGTGTATGCGCACGTGCTATGCGCGACATGCATTTGTAAATATACACATATATACATGTGTATATAATATAGCTATATGGATGTATGAAAACTGGACGTCATGTTCGCACGCGCCAGCCTGACCAGCACTTGCCAACAGTCGAAGGACAGTCTTTCGCAATGCGCAGGCGCTCTGCAAGTACTCCCACTGCTCTGTGAAGCACGACAAGTCCACGTGCTGCATCATTCGGGCGCTCCAGCAGGGGTTGGGGAGCACTGGACGATGAGAAAGACAGGGCCAGTCAGCGGGGGCGGCAGTGGGCGAGGAGCAGCTCTGAAGGGCACTGGGCAGGCATAGGGCTTTGATGCTGGAGGCCTTCCGTTCCCGGTACGCGACTCGGCACATCGTGCGGCCACATTAGGCAAGGAAGGCAGTGGCTCTAGTGAAAGCATTCCGAGGCAAGGGGGGGAAGCTGGAGGGCGGCTTTCACAAGGCTCTGGTGTCGGAGGCCAGGGAAATTATCCGGCCGCGCATTCGCCGCCCACGGCCCACGTGAAAATTGCGATGTGGGGGTCGAGGGGGCAGGGTTGGGGGGCACGAAAACAAAAGAGCTGAACCACAATCACCAGGAAGACCGCTCTTCGCACAGTGCCAGTCGCAGGCTCGGCCAGGGCTGCCGAGGAGGAGGAGGGATCAGGAGGAGGAGTAGGAGGAGGAGGAGTAAGATGAGGAGGAAGAAGAGGCGAGGAGGAGGAGGAGGAGGAGGAGGAGGAGGGGAGGAGGAGGCGAGGAGGGGGCGAAGAGGAGGAGAAGGAGAAGGATAAGGAGGAGGAGGCGAGGGGCAGGCGAGGGAGAAGGAGGAGGAGGAGGAGGATAAGTAGGACGGCGACACATGCCTGATCGAGAGGGCGATTCGCATCTCGCCATCTGGCACCCACCAAGCGCGCGTGAGCTCCCCCCTCTCTCGTCCTTGCCCTCTGGCTTCCACCCGCTTGGACCGCGAGAATGCCGCGCAAATCGCGCGCGAGCCCAGACCCGAGGCGTGCGCGAAGGGTCGAGAGGGGTCTGGATCCGGCAGGGCCGTCGGAGGAGGAACGCCTCCAGAGGCTCAGGACATGAGGGCGACAGGTCCCGTCTCCTGCGGTGCCCCATCGGCGGCGGGCTCCCCCGATCTTTCCGCCAGCCGAGCATCTCCCCTTCCGATCGGCCGGGCACCTCCGAAGGTGCCGCAGGCTTCGGTGATTCAGCGCCGAGAGTTTCCCCAAGAAGAGCGCCCGTGTCGACCCGCGCGCTGCGGGAAGTGCTTCTGCTTTTCATCGCGCGTTTCATGCGTTCGCGGCGGAATGATAGCGTTCGGGAAAGCCAGAGCAGCTATGTAGGGCAAGACAAGGTTCACCAGCTAACGTGTTCCAGCCAAAGGCATCGGACGAGGAAACTCTCTTGAGTGCGGGCACTCTGTTGCAGTTTGTCAGTCGCAGCACGCTGAGACGCACTGGCTAGTCGCTCACGAGCTACCTGGTTTTAGTTATCTGAGAAAGGACGATGAAAAAGTCACTGCGTATGCCTTCACGGCTGGGTCTCCAATCGATGCTGATAAGTGCCACACAGTGTAGAATTTGGGTGCACGCGTCCGCAGACGTACCGCCGTTTGGGCAGTGGTACACACGACACAAGCAGAGTCACGGTGCACCCACAGCATATGCACGTCAATCGGCACCTCCCCATAAGCGAGCAAAGGGAGCTTGACGAACAGGCAGATACCGTAGACAACTTAACCACCGCGACTGAGAATTGTGCGCGCATTATGGCAAATGTATTGATACCACCAACTGCAAATCCATCAAGTCAGAGTGTGAGCAGCCCGCCAGTGCAGTGCTTAGACAAGGTCTAACCTGAATACCTGTCAGCAGTCGTTCGAGAGGTAGTGGCAGACTCAACCCGTGTGAAGGCGACAAACAGACACACACTTTGTCCCCCGACGCGGCGATGACGGCATTCACCATTGACGCATCTCCAGTTCACGTTCCCGACGAATTGGTCACCTCGTGCGGAAATGTGCGCTAGACTGACACTCCAGGGAACAGTCACGCCAAGACGAGGCCCGCGAGCAGCCTAGACAGGTGCATGCAAGACAAGATGAAGGAAGGCGGGCGGAAAGGAAGCCGGCCTAGCCAGGAAAAGGGTGCCAACGGATGAGCAGGGGCGGCGGGAGCAAGATGGGGCCGGAGGCAAAGTAAGGCACGGAAGTTGCCGACCAGCAACCGAGCCAGGCCGGTGCGGCCGCGGGATACCGCCAAAAAAATGGGCCGCGTAGAGTCGGAGGAGCTTCAGCCAGATGGGCGGAGCAGAGGTAGAAAAAGGGCCAAGCTCAAGATGTGCAGGAGCACCGCGGGTGGCAAAGGGAGTGGGGGGGCGGAAGTGAGAGGAGCGGACGCCGCCGGGCAGCGCCTGAGCCAAGCCCGCAGACCCGCACGAGGAGCCGCCGACGTCGATAAGCGCGAGCAGAAGCCAGGGGCCCGAGAGGGGCGAGGAGAAGAGAAAGAAGACGGCCTGACGTGGCTGGGTCGCCCGTCGACGCAAGCCGTGCTCACGGTCGACGGACGGCGAGTTGTGGCCGCCCCCGTGCAGCGGTGGCGCAGGGCGCCAAGCATGGGGATCCAGACCGAGCCAGAGCCGAGGGGCGCCAGACAAGCTAAAGCATAGCCGGGAGCGGCCGCCGCAGCCAGGGTCGCGGTCGCGTGGGCTCGGGCATTGCCGGGAGGTGTCCCTGGCTCGAGGAGCCCCCAGGACTTCTCCAGCCAGGCCCACGCGGGCTCCAGAGCACCCGTCGGGAAGCCCAGGGGGCCCCCGGGGAGCTCCACACTGCAGCGACCAGCCGGGGGCGCGTTGGGCCAGGGGCACCAGGAAGAGCCCCCGCCCGAGGACGCGAGCTCTGGCGCTGAGTCCCCCCAGAGGGCCCGCGAAGATCGGCGCCGCGTGCGGCGCGCGCCACGACGCTCAGGACCGGGGTCGAAAGAGGTGGGCGGCCCACGCCAGGCGTCGGGGCGCAGGAGCGCCCCAGCGGCCAGAAGCGCGGTGCACGCGGGTGCAAGGCTTAAGTCGGGCGTGTCCCTCTCCAGGAGGAATATTCAAGAATAGCAAAAGAAAATCTGGGGACGATGTTTTGACTATGTTTGATCATTTGTGAAATGTTGGACTCTGTAAAATTTGTCTTCCAAAATCCGCCTGTAGGAGGACATGCCCGACCTAATGCAAGGCTGGGGTGAGACACGGGGGGTGGCAGCGGTGGCCACCCAGCCCGAGGCTAGGCCGAGAAGCGTGGGCACTTGGATCCGAATCGCCTCGCCAAAAACCGAGGAAGAAAAAACAGCACAAACGTTTTGCGTCGGCGGCTAGGCAGAGTCACTGCGCTGGCGAAGAATAGAGACACACATATTCGGAGGTCGCGCTGGAACCCCCCCGGCGGCGCCCCTGGTCGCGTCAGGAAGACCGTTTCTGCGCCGTTCCAAGAAGCACGTGCTGCAGATCCGCAAGAAGCAGGGAAGCGCGAATCCAAGTATTAGTTCGGCCCACGCGGACACACACACACACTCTCTCTCTCACACACAAACAAACAAACAAACAAACAAACAAACAAACAAACACGCACACACACACACACACACACACACACACACACACACACACACACACACACACACACACACACACACACACACACACACACGCGCGCGCGCGCGCGCACACACACACACACACATGTGTGTGTATGTTATATATAGATATATATATATATATATATATATGTGTGTGTGTACGTCGGCGGCGCAGGGGAACCTCAGGCGCGGTCGGCAGGTGGAGGTGCCAATTACGAACTTAGTCGAACGCACCATGATGAAAGAGCTCAGTTATGGCCATGCAGATTGGTAATGGAAAACGAGAGGCGTTGCAATGCCGAAGTGCAGAGGCCAAAAATCCCGAGGACCTTAAGCTCGACGCGGGTAGTTTAAAGCGCCTGCAGCGCTCTGGTGCTAATTGGTGTCACTGAATCATCAGAGCTATGTTAGACAGTGAAGACAAAAGACATAATATTGTAAAGCTGCCAGACCAGCCGAAGGCGAAGTAGCGCTGAGGAAGCGAAGGCCTGGCGAAACTGATGGATTGGGTGCTAACCTACGAGCCGGCGACGCACGATGCACAAGCATAAATCTGTAAAGCGTCGGATTCAGACTGGTGATGAAGGAGCGCACAGCACACGCCGAAACCGCACATGCAAGGCCGAAACTAATCGAACGAAGCCATGCCGTGAAGTCCTTGGTGGGTAGCCACGCCGCCAGATGAGGCCAGTGTCAGTGACAGGCCCGGGTTGGCCAAAGAACAATCTGCCATAGCGGCACCGACCAAAATAGATTGGTAGCGTAGCGCTCGAGCAGCACAACGAAAGACCCCGAAGTGCACTGTGCGCACCGACGTCCAGGTCGCCACCAAATCGACCAATACGTCTCGGACAAGACGCGGAAGGCGCCGCGAGGCTCGCGGAAGGCCCAGTTGTGGAGCCTACGCCGACCTAGAAGAAACGCATCACGTGCAGGACAGACCTCGGTTGTGGTAAACGCAAGGAGACCACCCCAGAAGACCCGCCCACACGGAGCCAGGAAACCCGACCAAGCGCGAGCAGCTCGGAGGGCCTTGAAAATGAGGGCGCCAGGAAAGAGAGAGTTCCAGGCGCCACAAACAAAACTGCCAGAACAAGGGCAATATCAAAATAATGTAGCATCCCGAACAGACAACCAGGCGGCAGCTGGGCGGGGGTGCGGCTGGGCACCTAAAGTGAGACCACCCCCAGAGTCCCCCGCCAGGGTGGCCCCTCTCTGGACACACACACACACACACACACTTTCAAGTCGGCGGCGCAGAGGGACCTCAGGCGCGGTCAGCAGGTGGAGATGCCAATCACGAACGAACTTAGTCGAACGCACCATGATGGAACAGCCCAGCACACACACACACACACACACACGTGCAGCAGATGTGGCCCCGCGACTGCTGCCGAGCAGACTCTCGTCGGCTGCGAGCCCCTTTTGACCCCGCTGCCTGCCGAGCAGCTCCTCGTCCGATTGGGCCTGCCCCGACCGAGGGTCCGCAGCCTTTATCCACGTTAGCACGCACGCGTGCAGCAGAGGTGGCACGAGATCGCTCCCCGACAGGCGCAAGCCCTGCCGATCCGTCCATCCGTCGAGTGGCTCATCTTGAAAATTGCCCTGACATATTGCACGGATGCGCAGGCAAACTGTGCCGACAACATGACGAACGCGGACTGCCCGGACGGCTATTGGTTGCCCAGCCACAACGAGACCTTCTGCGCTGGCGAGAAGTGCACCTACGAGGAGAGACCCGTTCTACATGCCAATATTCCCCGCTTCTCCGCGTGCTTTCTCTGTCTCTCTCTCTCTTTCTTTCCCTCCATCTCTTTCCGTTCCTCCTACCCCTTCTCCCCCCGTCACCACGCTTCCACACTTGTCCTTCCCCTCCCCTCTCTCAACCTTCCCCTTCCTGTTCCTCCTTCTCCACCTCATCCTCCTCATCTTCGTCGTCCTCCTTCCGAAACCATTGAAATGCTTTGTGTCTTGAGGTGTGGGGTTTCTCGGGTGCCTGTCGACATCCTTTTAGAAGCCCTTCGAGGTCTGTTGGGGTTAGGTCGAGGCCAGCTTGTTGAGCCCGTTCCGGAGATCTCGTAGCCAGTTGGAAAGATGGTCGGCCCATCTTTGGGCCGTCGTGGGTTGTTTTGCAGGCGTTTTGGGTCAGTCGTGGGCTTACGGTAGTTCGCCATGGAATTCCTAACGATTCCCGCTCCGCGGGACAGTGAAACAGTGGCGGGGATATTGGGACAGTGGTGGGGACGCTGGTGGTGGGGACAGTGTTGTGAGGAAAGTGGGACAGCGGTGGGGACAGTGGGAAAGTGGTGAGGACGGTGGTGGTGGGGACAGTGGTGACGGGACAGTGGGACAGTGGTGGGGACAGTGGGGGCAGTGGGACAGTGGTGGGGACGGTAGTGGTGGGGACAGTGGTGAGGGTGGTGGTGAGGACGGTGGTGGGACAGAAAGGACACTGGCACAGTGGGAACAGTGGTGGGGACAGTGGGGACAATGTGGCAGTGGTGGGGACAGTGGGAACAGTGGGACAGTGGTGGGGACAGCGGTGGGGACAGTGGGAACAGTGAGACAGTGGTGGGGACAGAAAGGACAGTGAGGTTGTGGGTATAGTGGGACAATGGGGAGACTGGGACCGTGGTGGGGAAAGCGCTGGGGACAGTGGGGACAG